TTTCTCCTGCCCTCCCATCAATGCACAACATGTTCTTTCCTTCCACTTTCGTCTATCACCCGTCATCTCAATACTGACCCCTTTCACAGACATATAATTCTTCACACAGTTCATCCACATCTTCCTCGATCTTCCTCTAGCTAAATTAACACAGTATGATTGTTAAATAAAACTAATTTAAGAATTTTTCGGCTTCAATCTTCGTTCTTATCCGGACGTTACGGTTAATATACTGAGTAAAAATCCGGGAAAACGGGACGCTATTACTTAGACTCCGTTGTCTGTCTATCTGTCTGTCCGTCTGTCACCAGGCTGTATCTCATGACCTCGATAGTAAAAAAGTTGAAATTTTCACAGGTCATGTATTTCCATTATCGCTTTAACAGCAAATACTAAAAACACAAGATAAAATAAAAAAAATATTTAAAGGGGCTCCCATATAACGGGCAAATTTTTTTGCCGTTTTTATAGATAGTACGGAGTACTCTTCATGCGCGAATCCGACTCGCACTTGGCCGGTTTTCTTTTTTTACAATGGGTGGCATTCATGTTAACACAAGAAATCGAATAGTGAGACATTTTTCTTTTTTTTTATGTGAAAAGTTGCCAAGCGAGCAGTCGGTTCACCTGACGTTAAGTGACTACCGCCGCCCATGGACACCTGCCACACCCGAGGGTTGCAGATGCGTTGACAACCTTTTGAAAATGGGGCTCCGACCACCTCACTGATCAGAGGAAACGCGAAAGTATTATACTTCCACTTCACGCCGGTCTTCTTTGAGGTCGTGGTACTTCGTCGCCTGCTCATTCGTGCAACAGCCGAGGCTGCTGAGTGACCCTACCACAGTAAAAGCGACTTTTATAACATTAGTAATGTGATTTATAACGGAATAATTACAGCGGACCCGACTATGTGTCGCATATTTGGTGGAACCAAATCCAATTTTCTGTAGTTAAAAGCGAGTTAGTATTGAGATTTTTATCTTTATGCTAAGAATGTGTCATACGTCCTGAGAAATTTAACTGTGATTCATTTGTAAATGTGGTGTAATGTGTTCAGCAGTGGACTCCAACAGACTGAAATTATTTATGGTGATGATGTATTTGTAACTAACTAGTCACTAGTTTGTAATTCGTATTTTATACCTGTTTCTTACTACTTTGTTATATATATTTTTATTTGTTAATACGTGTTTGTCAAATGCCAAAATCTTGTGAAAAGACGCCTTTCTAAAGTGTTAAGACTTTTAAATAAAATTCTCGAATACTTTGGGTGACGTGTAATCAAATTAACTGTATTTCATTTTTATCGTAATAAAATATAGAATGAAACGCGGTACTTCCTCGGCATTATATAAATAACAATTTTAAAAGAACAGTCAATAATTCTTAAATTTTGTAAACATTTAAATCATAAATTCTTTAAAAAATTATAGTTCTCTACGCAATAAATTCGGCTGTTTATTTTTGCTGGAAACAAGTTTAGTTGTTTTGATATTTAAAAGGTTATATTAAAACGACAGAGAATATATGAAAAACATTGAGAAAACCGAATGTTTGCTTAAATTAGAAGAAAGTGTATTGTTTTCAGTGATGTTTTCAGTTACTAAATCATATTTCGTTTTTTGTGCAAGCGCTCTAACAAAATCTTGTGACGTCAGACATACGTCGCCAAAACAGCTGTTAACCGCCTTGCGAATAAGTTCTACCGGTTTGAAAAATATCAAAATCACTTTACAAACCTTACACAATACACATTAACGTCGGAATGGGTCATTGACACTACACTAAAACACAGATAACACCAAAGCAACAATTCACATTTTCACTGACGTCTCAACACGCGCACCACAAGAATGCCGTCATTTCAATTTAATTTTGAACAGATAAAAAATCACCGAAACCACGACTGCTTTCGCGGGCTTTTTGGCGCGAAAACGTCTCGAGGACGCCATTTTGGTGCGTCCCCGCTAAGTCGAGTCGTCACTGGGTCATTTTGGGGTGTTTTTTGGTCCTTACGAGTTGAAACGGAACATCGGCGGCGAAAAGAACATCCATTGGAACACTAGTTTGCGTTTCGAACTGTCAGCCATTACTTAGCAAAAGAGTTTTGCCACCCGAAAATCTCACTGGGCCTTTTAAAACAGCACAGAGTCACGCGGAACGTCTAAAAGCAATATTATCACCGCGTAAGATACTTTTCAGAAGCGCAAAATCGAAGTGGCATGTTTATTTTTGTTTTGTCTTCAGTTTCTAAGGCTACGACAGTGCTTGTAAGGCGGTTCGCTTATAACTGACCAGCGTGCAAAAGAAGGGGCCGGGGGTGGGAAGAGGGTCGCCTTTAATCACAAGGGGTGAAATATTTCGCCTTTTAATTATGGCGGGGTGCGTTTAGAGCAGAGTTTTGCGGTCGTTAGCGTAGATTGCCTTGTTTTTCCATCAAATCGTGTGGTACTTCTTTTTGATGCCAAGCTGTTTAATTGGATTTCAACATACTATTAGATTCCCAATATCAATTGCTAATTAATTCTCTCACTTCATCTAGTACTAAACCGGTAGTTATTGTAAATTTTTACTCGCATCAGTATTTAGTACCTGAAAAAAACAAATGAATGTACGCCTACATAGCTATTAAGACAATATCGATAATTTACTAGGAAAACCTCTCAATTATACACTAAAGTAACGCCTCAGTAACGCCCTTGAAAACTTGAAAAAAAGTCCGCGACCGCATGTCTCTATCGTCAATAACCGTTTTTAACTATTATTTATTAATTAAGACAAAAAATTATGAAAAACGTGTGAAGCTTCTTTGACCAATTAAAAAAAAATGTAACTTTCGCTCCATATAATTACTTTGTAGGTATTCTGATATTTCTGTATAAATTGAAAAAAACATGGCCGGTTTATGTTCTATTATATTTAATTGTGAAGTGTAATTATATGCGGCCTAAATATATAGCAATACATAAATAAGAACCTTGGCCTTACTTATACATAATGTAGAACATAGGTTATGCATTGTAGGTTGACCAAATTTGCTCTACTTTTCTTGTGGTGGATACTTTTAACTGTGGTAGGGCCACGGAACAGTCTTCTCCGTCGAAAAGGTGGCAACGCATCTGCATTCCTTCGGGTGTTGCAAAAACTTTCGTAAATTGATGCTTGTTTTATTTATTGATTCACAAATCGGACAATACTTTATTCTATACGCAAAACATAAATGTAAATATTGACCAAACTGTGGCAAGTATTATTAATCTTTTATTTCCTCTAAATTAGCATGCACAAGACAAAGCATGCAAGAAAGATCCATAAAATACTTACGAAAGGCAATTTTTTTCTGCAAGACGTACTATTCAAATGTCAGATCGCAGCTATTCGAGGTGATTGACGTTCCTATTCTTATTTGAAATGCATTATATATCGCATCATGTGTTATCACTTATGATCTTGATAATAAGTGATAACACATGGGGTTGCAGATGCGTCACCAAACCAAACGCAAAAGTAAAATAATTCCGGTTCGTTTGTGTTATTTTTGCTTGCGATAAGACAAGTTATATGACTAAAACTTCTCACTCTGTAATAAAAACTCTGTACCTTACGGTGGTAGGGCCACGCAGCAGCCTCGGCTGTTGCAGGTAAGTACCACGACCTCACAGAAGACCAGCGTAAAGTGGAACTATGACAAATACTTTCGCGTTTCGTCTGGTGAGTGAGGTAGCCGGAGCCTAATTTTTAAAAGGTTGTCAACGCATCTGTTACCCTCGGGTGTAGCAGATGTCCATGGGCGGCGGTATTCACTTACCATCAGGTGAACGTTCTGTTCGTTTGGCAACTCCAAAAAAAAAAACCTATAATAGCGAATATAGAATATGAAATTCTGAACATGCTACTTCTTGTCATTAAATATCATATCAGCGATAAAAAGAGTACTTTTAGCGCATGAAGACCTTACTTGCCAAGCTTCGGATAGTTTTTATAAATTATATTTACAACTGGCGATTTACGCGATATCAAAAATAATAACAGATGCTGTCTTTCAAACTTTTTTCGGCAGTGACATGAAGAACTTTGCTTAGTGGCTAGAGAGTCTTGACGCGTAATCTGGAAGGCAAATGCTTTGCTCTGCACATATTTAAAAGTGGGCCCCGATTACCTCACTCACCAGACAAAACGCGAAAGTATACTTCCACTTTACGCTGGTCTTCTGTGCGGCCGTGGTATTTTCTCGGACAAGCCTGCCCAAAGTGGCTGTGCGGTGTAGCCCTACCACAGTGATATACATGTATACACAATGGTTAGTATTTTTTAGTTACAGCTCGGTTACGGTTTAATTAATTAAAGATGCACTTAATTATTTAGTATGTAAAATCATTCTAATAAATTATGTCATATATGCATGCGGCGCATATTGGCAAAGTATATAAATGTTTATAATATGCCAATATGCGCCTGACACAATTTATATGTCAATGTCTAGACAATGTAATAAAAACCTGCGGTTTTTGAAAGGAAATTTAACTGTGGTAGGCCACGGAACAGTCTTCTCTGTTGCACGAATGGGCTGGTCCGTTCGGGGGTATCGCTTAACATCATGTGAACATCGAGCTCGTTTGCCACCTTCTAACATGAAAGAAAATATGCTCAATTGGGGACTCTCAGAAAACCCAGAACTGGACTGTGTGTGTGGAGCAGCGCGGTCCATAACCCATCTTGTGTCCTGTCCTCAGGATTTACAGGTCTGGAGGCCCCTTGGCCCCAAATGATTTTCCAAATAAAATGAATAATTTTTTTCACTCAAGTTTTCCAATAAATAATTTATTGTGAAACCAAGTACGGATTATTTTATTATTTAACGTACATATTAATATAATCGGAAACAAAAATTATCTAAAATTAAATGTTGTTTACTAGTTTCTTAGTTTAAACGTGTCTTCTTCTTCTTCTTCTAGTTTTTACTAGTCTGAAATTGTTTATTTTTCCGAAGTCTATTAGGGGGGCCTCTCTTTCGTGGAGGCCCCGGGGTTGTAGCCCCGGTTGCCCTCCCCTAAATCCGGCCCTGCCTGTTCTGCCTGCCCGTTCCTGTCCCCAGGATTTGATGGACGCCACAAATTGTGCAGTCGAAGTGGTTCAGTTCTGGGACGCTCAAAGAAGAGGAACAAAGCGCTTGATCAAACTATGACAGGGGAATAAGAAAACAAACAACAGGAGACAAGGAAGTGTTACAATGCCAGCAAAGATGGTACTAGAAGATTGTGTTCTTCTAAAACCAATATCGCAAGCTGTAAATTGCCTCGAATAGAGCATTAATGTAATTGGCATTATAGTCCATTAGAGCGAGTGGGCCGCGCCCTATCCGAGAATTAGCCGATAGCCTGACGGATGGAACTTGCGATGTACAAGTGAAATTGACCCCGTGACCTCAAGGGGTTAATGAGAACCTTAATTCTGGGGCGTTTACGTAAAAGATTTTTTTTTTCACCTGATGTTAAGTGAATACCGCCGCCCATGGACATCTGCTACACCCGAGGGTTCCAGATGCGTTGACATCCTTTTGAATAATGGACTTACCGACATGCTTTTTATATGATGATGTTTTCGCTTTCAGTATCATCGCCGATGTTGGCTCAAGTTCGACAGTCATCGAGTTTCTAATCGTATAAAATTTCACATGCCGAGATATAGCCGGATAAGTCGGTTGTCGGATAGTAACTCGGATGCTACCTTCGTGTATAGAGCTACGGATGAAGACGTCGGAGCTTAATACATAACATATACATAGTACTAGTGGACCCGACAGACGTTATGTACACACGACTTAAATCCGACAATAATTTAGAAATAAAAAAAAACGGTAGGGGACAGAATTGTGAATCTAAACAGTTCTCGAATCGACCTGAAGGCAAACACAAACTATCATTAAAATCGGTTCAGCCGTTTTGGAGGTTTTCAGTGACATACATGGACAGAACAATTATATATATATAATACAGATATTTTGTATTATGGAAGATATACTTTCATTCCAGAGACAATATAAAGGTTAAACTTTATAGTTGGGTGTGGAAGGCGTCTCACTGACCAAGACTGGTTACTTGTATATGTATGTATATACTAATCGAAATGGGTAGGCAAATTATTTCTATATCAAATATAATTTCATAAATCGTACATATGTCAATATCGTCCTATAGAGACATACCTAGTCAATGTGGGAAGACTACCGTGGTATTAATTGCCAAATATGTATTTTTTTAAATAGATGGCGCTGTCATACATTGTATTAATATTGTGTTCATCTATTACTAGTGTATTTTATTATTAATGATGTTTTAATAGATTTTATTATTTACACGTTCAGCATAAAGCATGTACGAAAATTTAAAGGCGAATTATGTAACTATAATATAAAGTTCATTGCTGTAAAAAAATATTAAATATACTTTTCTTGGTAATTCCTGAACTTCATTTGTGAGTTCAATTCATTTGCATTTAGTTCATTCATCAACTTCATTGAACTGAATTCACAATGAATTAAATAGTATAATATAATCTGAAATTTTTTAAAAATTATAGTCATAAAAAAATCATTTTTCATAAATCTTATTAAGGGAATAATTCAAAAAAATTAGGTATTGCAGTTTGTAGCGACGGCTAACTCTATTGGGTTCTATCTGCACTAGGCTATGTGAAGTGAAATACCACTGGTTATAGTAATAATAGTTTATTCTCGTAAGTAGTTGCACAATTAGAGTTCACTTGAGATACTTATAAGAATATAAACTAGTTCTATGTTAGGTATACAATTACAGTCTATTAGCATACTAACTATATCGCGTCGGTTGTCGAACTGCGCGGGAGCGGCGGGAACGTATTTTCAATCGGTCGCTCCCGCGTGGCGCGTCATGACTTTGAGCCGCGATTGGCTCTTGCGTTGCCGCCCGGGATTCGTCCAATCCGCGAGTACTATTAAGCCCGAGCGACTTTTGAAAAGGGCGCGTTACACACTCCCCCTCCAAGTTCCCATAACGACCCGTTGGGGACTTGGTTACACTAACATTCCGCGCGGTGTTACGAGGGCGACCACGAAGTCGCCGTGGTTGAACGGGCACCGAAAAGATACCTTGGCCTGGTGTGTATGGTGTTAACTCAGAACTATGCATTTTTCCCAGGTCGGTATTTGTCTCTAAATCAGCTATAACATAAGTAGTTGGGCTAATAATTTTACTAATACGATATGGGCCATCCCGTTTCGGCATGAATTTCTTTGTTAACCCTTTTGAAAAATGACTCAGCAAATGTGTGTCTACCAGAACCAAGTCATTAACACCAAACAAAGGTGACTGCCGTCGGTGTTGGTCAGTGTCGCTCTTCTTCCGATCCTGCTGGCATTCAGCTTTCTCCTTGATGACCTCCCAATTCTCAAGGAACCTTTTTAAGTAAGGAGTTATCTGTGGCAGAAAGTTTTCTTTCGATAATATAGCTCTCAGATCTCGTTGTGCATCAAACGGCGTCCTCAACTCCCGAGCAAACATCATATGAGCTGGACTACATCCCGTGGTAGCACAAACAGCACTGTTCATCGAGAACCTGATCGCAGGCAGATAGTTAGGCCACGAACGGATGATTGTTCTTCACTAAGATGGAGAGCTGAGTCTTGAGATCTCTATTCTTTCGTTCTGCTGGGTTGGCTTCAGGATGATAGAGTGGTGTTAAATTCTGTTTGATCCCCAATAAGAACATGGTCTGCTGCATAACAGCCGAGACAAACTGGACTCCGTTGTCCGAGATGACCCTCCTTGGGAATCCATACCGTAGGAAATATTGCTCGATAAGGGCTGGTGCGCAGACTTCTGCAGTGGCGTCCTTGAGGGCTATCAGCTCCACCCAACGCGTAGCTGTGTCCTCGATGAGCAGCACCCACTTTTCTCCATCGTTTCCTTCAGGTAGAGGTCCAAATAGATCTATTGCTAGAACCTCGCCTCTCTGATTCAGAACTGGGGTTTGCAGTAGTCCAGCAGGCTTCTGGTTACTTATTTTATAGCGTTGGCATTCTTCGCATCGCTTGAGATACTCCGTGACGTATTTACGCATTCCAGTGAAGTAGTACTTCTGATTAATGCGTGCGATAGTCCTCTCTACACCCTGATGTCCGGCAGTTGGGGCATCGTGATACTCCTTCAGTACGGCTTTTTTCATTGACGTGGGTATTACTAGTTGTGCTTCTTCTGACTCAGAGTTGGGATTGTAAAAGTAAAGAACCCCTTGAGCCATAACATATCCTCTCTCTAACCATCTGGTCGAGTTTATGGGATCCAAGTCTTCTAGATCATGAACTATCTTGGCGACTTCTGGATCTTGCAGCTGAGCAGTACGAAGTTCCGTCGGGTTTATTTGAGGAATATCGACTATAAGGGAACAGACTCCACATTCTTCTTGGGAGTTCTCATCGCAGACAGGCCGACTCAAAGTGTCTGCTATGACATTGGCCTTTCCTGGTGTGTATTCATATTTGATGTCGAAACCTTGCAGCTTTAATGCCCACCTAATAAGGCGACCGTTTGGTGACTTGTGAGTCAAAAGCCACTTCAACGGCTGATGGTCACTCTTTACAATCACTGTATGACCATCAATATAGGGTCGATACTTCTCAACTGCCCAAACCACAGCCAAGGCTTCACGTTCAGTCGTACTGTAACGGCGTTCTGCTGGTGTGAGCAGCCGGCTGGCATACTCAATGGGATGCTCGTCTTGTCCTTTGCACTGCATAAGGGTTGCTCCAAGAGCATAGTTGCTCGCATCGGTCCGCAGAATAAATTCCTTGCTGTAGTCAACTTGCACCAGAATCGGAGCAGAAGCTAACCTGGCTTTAAGTTCCTTAAAAGCCTCTTGTTGTTCCTCTTGCCATTTCCATGGTTCATTTTTCTTAGTTAGCTTGGTAAGCGGTTGAGCTATCGCTGAGAAATTTGGAACAAATTTTCTAAACCAAGCGCAGGTTTGTAGAAATGTTCTGAGATGCTTGAGGTTAGTTGGCTCTTTCATGGCTATGATGGCTTCAACCTTCCCGTTATCCGGCTTGATACCTTCAGGTGTGATGAGGTGACCGAGATATTTGACCTCTTTACATGCAAAAAACACATTTGTCTCGGTTGGCTCTCAATCCAAACTTTAGAAGACGGTCAAATACCAGTTGCAGGTCTTCCAGGTGTTTCTCGAAATTGTCGGATATGACCAATATATCATCCAGGTATGCCAGGACAGTAGTATTCTGCAGGCTGGAACCAGATTTAAACTTATCCATCAACCGCTGGAAGGTGGCCGGGGCATTCTTTAAGCCAAATGGCATTCTTACAAATCGATACGTAGCAAAAGGAGTGATTACAGCAGTTTTATCCCGGTCAGCTGCATTAACACCAACTTGCCAGTATCCAGATCTTAAATCAATAGTACTTATGTAGCAGTGCTTTCCGGTTGACTGTAGCAGCTCATCAATTAGAGGTAAGGGATAATTATCTGTCTTTGTGATGCTGTTCAGCTTTCTATAATCTACACAAAATCTGACAGTATTATTTTTTCTTTGGTACTAGAACCGCTGGAGACGTCCAAGCAGATTCACATTCCTCTATTATTCCATCCCGGAGCATCTTGTCAATTTCTGCCTTCATGATTTCTTTCTTTGCAGGTGTGAGTCGGTAAGGAGGTACAGATATAGGTGCGTGTTCTCCTGTGTCTATATGGTGTTCAACAATTGGAGTGGGCGCTCCCCCTAGACTGAAAACTGCACTATTCCTCTCTAATACTTCGGCTAATCTCATCTTTTCATTTACATTCATCATATATCCTTCCTCTGCATTAAGTATGTTGCTTGCAGCAATTGATATTTGGGATGGCACATTAGATTCAAATTGCATAGGGTATTTTTCACCTCCAGGAAAGCACCAAGTCAAGTGATAGAAGTCCAGGTCAAGTCGAGATGCTTTCATAAAATCTATTCCCAATAAAGAATCATTTTCTTCAGCATCCGGTAAGATCATAAACTCCTGAGGTATTACTCTATTCTTTACTTTGACATCTAAGGAGATTGTGAGTACCTTTTTAATTTGAGATAAACCGTCAGCTAATTTTACTCTCACTTGTCTCTCGCAGAACTGTTGATTGTTCTCCAGTAAGAGTGAGTAAAGTTTCTGACTTGCAAGGCTTCTCTTGGCAGCTGTATCAAGTAGTGCTCTTCCTCTTACGTTGAGAATTTCAATTCCTATGATTGGCCGCTGATGTCTGTTCATATAATTTTCAAAAGAATCAAATAATTCCAATGCAGCATACTCAGAGTTATTTGCTGAATTACTATTGTTCAGGGCTCCATGCGCAGGCTTCTGGAGATCCTCAACCTCTTGGCTGGTTCCTAATAAATCCAAAGATGAAAATATAATATCCTCACAAGGCATGATTACACTACTGGGTATACCTATACTATGACACTTAGTCAATATACTGTTATTAGATATACTGTGGCCTTTGTTATCACTGTTATCAACAGCTGATGTCAACCTAGGTTTAGTGTCCATGACTAGTTCTGGCAACAAGAATGTGTTACTATTACATTCTGACATAGTACAACATGCCATTTCTTTACTATAGGGATCAATTACATGAACTTGATTAACCTTAACACTCTTATCAGTTAAAAAATTTGGAATTAATGTATAATTTGACATGGTACAACATGACATTTTCTTATTATAGGGATCAATTACTTGAAATTGATTATTATTAACACTCTTATCAGTTAAAGAATTTGCAATTAATGTATAATTTGACATGGTACAACATGACATTTTCTTATTATAGGGATCAATTACTTGAAATTTATTATCATTAACACTTTTATCAATTAAAGAATTTGCAATTAATGTATAATTTGACATGGTACAACATGACATTTTCTTATTATAGGGATCAATTACTTGAAATTTATTATCATTAACACTTTTATCAATTAAAGAATTTGCAATTAATGTATAATTTGACCTGGTACAGCATGACATTTTCTTATTATAGGGATGAATTTCTTGAAATTTATTATCATTAACACTCTTATCAGTTAAAGAATTTTGACTTTTACATTTATAGGCATTAGAGCTCACCGGGGAAAACTGCTTACCCGCGTCCTTTGACCCTTGGGCGGACGAATCTATGCTGCAATTGATAGAACAGAATGTAGCATTACACTTATCGCAATTTGCGCGTAAAACACCTTTCTGCCCACATCCATAACAATGCACAACCTTTACATCTGTTGCGTTATTACTATTATCATTAGACTTACACCTAGAGTCTTTAGGTAATTTACGACATTCTTCTATCATGTGGCCGAAACGTTTACAATAACCGCACTTCTTACTATACGATTTAGTTTTCGCAGTGGAGGCGGAGACGGACGCAGTCGCGGTGTAGTGATCATCGACTCGAGGCGGCGGTGGCGCGCGGTGCACGCGAGGCGGCGGCGCGGGCGCCCCCATTGTGGCGCCGGCGCGCAGCGTCTTCAACACGGCGGCGGGACGACTCGACGAGGCGTTATTCACGCACACTTCACTTAGTGACTCTTCCACGGCGCGCGTCTTTTAAATAGTATTTTAAATGATGCGCAGTCTTCTCTCTTGACACGTTTTCTAATTCTTTTGTGTAGGAGCCCATACACCATATCAAGTTGGATCTTTTCAGAAATCTCGTTCCGCGGCAATTTTGCTAAAAGCGCTCTACACTTCGCAACGTAAATATGGGTGTTTTCTTCGCCTTGTGGTTCAGAAAATAAGTCGCGGTAAATACGCGACGGAGCTCGACTATCGCCGTAGGTATGACGTAGGCTGTCTATAACTTCGGCCCATGAAGTAATTTCAGGTTTAATTCCTTGCCACCAATCTGCAGCTGAATGTGTTAGTAACATTGATAACCCACGAATGGCGTTTTCGTCTGAGATGTTTGCACAGTCTTTGTATGCTTCGATAGCGTCAATAAATCCTTCAATGGACTCGTCCGTATTTCCAGCGAATCGAGCTTTGCAGCGGGAAAAGTTTCCTCCTTCTAATGGTATCGGTGTCGAAGTAGACGACGCGTGCCTGGTGGTAGTGATGACGCTTTCCAGCAGCTCCTTGAAGGCGTTGGTCTGCGATCGTTGGAGTGACTCCACTAATGACGCAATGTCGTCCCTGGAGAAGGAGCCTTCTCTGGCCGACGCGAACTCTTCTCGCGACGGCGACGACACACGACGATTCCTTTTTGGCGGCATTTTATATAACCGCAGCGACTCTCGACACAAAAGTTCACTTTTTCACTATAGCCTCACGCGTGGGCAGCCATTTTGTAGCGACGGCTAACTCTATTGGGTTCTATCTGCACTAGGCTATGTGAAGTGAAATACCACTGGTTATAGTAATAATAGTTTATTCTCGTAAGTAGTTGCACAATTAGAGTTCACTTGAGATACTTATAAGAATATAAACTAGTTCTATGTTAGGTATACAATTACAGTCTATTAGCATACTAACTATATCGCGTCGGTTGTCGAACTGCGCGGGAGCGGCGGGAACGTATTTTCAATCGGTCGCTCCCGCGTGGCGCGTCATGACTTTGAGCCGCGATTGGCTCTTGCGTTGCCGCCCGGGATTCGTCCAATCCGCGAGTACTATTAAGCCCGAGCGACTTTTGAAAAGGGCGCGTTACAAGTTGTAATTTTACACAGGTTTACAATGAACACACAGATGGCGCTGAAATGAAGGGACTGATTATAATTTTTCGATAGATAAAATATTGAAAAAAAATTAATAAAATTTTACCTAATTTAATCCACGTATAATTCAATTAAACAACAAAAACTTTTATCATAATAGAAATTAAACATATGGCATAGGTTTCATTCATTTTAAGGATAACCTTTCTAAGGAAGTATTAACCAAACATTTGTTTAAGAGATTCATAACAGGCATGTCATTAGATACACATACAAAGACGATATTTCTTTCGTTCTTCGTACATCGGTAATAAAAATAACTGCAATTAATTATTGATTTATTTCGAAAAATCAACAAATTTTTGAACGATATTACAGTATTACCCAATCGTATATGGTAATGTTAATTACGTTTGTACAACGTGTCTATTACAACAAGTGCTGTATGCTAGTTAACAGTATTCATATGTATATAACATAATTAACAATCGTTATTAGGTACTAGGCGGACCACTTCGTTTTCCGTTGAATAGATGAGTTGACTATCAGCGTCGAAGGTCATGCCATACGCCCCTTTGACATCAGCTACCTTCCTCAGTGCTTGTTCATCCTTATCCACCCTGTATATGCCGTCATCGAAGCAGACAAAGAACCTCCCCTTCTTGTCCAAAGCAATCTCCCTCACTTCGTTCACGCTTCTCACCTCCGCATAAAGTACCGTGTCTGAGGAGCCTCTGCTCTTACCAAACACACCGATATCGTCGCAGTAGACCATGTAGTCATCGTCGATGGCAAAATAGTACACTTTGGTGCCTGCCAAGTCTTCAAAGAGCGTCGACTTCCCGTCGACATACTTGTAGAGTGCCTGACTCACGAACTCTATGTAGTATAAAGCATCTTTGAAGTACAGTTTCCAGGCGGTTACAGCGGGCAGAACAAGGCGTGCTTTGTTGGTCGAGCTGTCGTATTTGTATATGCCCTTGTGTGTGCCTATGTACGCTAGATGGCGTTTCTGATCGACTGCCAATGAATACCCGCTGTCGACGTTGACATGTCCAAAGCTCCCAGTGTTTAGATCGACCTTTGCGATCTCGTATTTCACCCTGTCGGTGATCGGGATGTAGCTGAAGTACAGTGCGTTCCTCTTGTGATCCACGGCCAAGGAAGATGGCTTGTAGAGGCCAGACCTCAAGAGCTGTTCGTTATGAGGCCTACCGTCGAATAGCACGGCACTACACGATTTCTCTTCACTCGCGGCGGCTTGCAGCAACGCCAAGCTCACCACAAGAGCTGATAGGGTTCTCATCTGAAAGTGTGACGTGCATAAAGTTAGTCATTGACGAAATGTATATGTTTGTCACTCTATGAGGAGAAACGCAGCACCGAATACCAATTTCACCACTTATGCACCTGGTACTGACACATCTGCAGACGTCTTCAGATGATTTTTGTTAGATACTAAAGATAGAAAGACACTAAAGATGATCACTCTTAAATTAAACTATTTTACGGATTTTATCGCGTTTAATTAGATTTTCAAATATTATAATTATAATGTTATTACATTATTATCTAATCGCTGTTAGGTTCTATGTATATTGTATGTCTTATGATGTATATTGTAACCGGTTAACCATAAAAGAATGAACAGGTTAGCAAAAAACATTGTAAGTAACAGAAATCATTTGGACAGGATCAATCTAGCGGCATTTAATAACCGGTTAATATTATTTTAACATATAAACAAAAAGTAATAAATTAACAAAAACGTTCGTTGCAATTGCATGCAAATTGTACATAACTAAATGTTTTGATAACAAAATATTCCTTATATTGACCAGTTATTTAAAAAGACTTACCGTTCTACTCGACAGTGTACCTACTGGCATCTCTTAAGGAAACTCGCTCCGTAATAAACCGTCTCTTTTGCATTCACTGCGAAAACTATAGAGTGGTCTGTGCTCGCCAAATATTTGACCCTTTTTTTTTGCGATTTTTATGCGGCAAGCGAGCAGGAGGTCTTGCTGACGCTATGTTAATGCCGCCAACCGTGGACATTACCCGATTGGTTGCAGATTAATTGCCAACCTTTAAAAAGCATGAGCCCCGGATATCTCAGTCAATAAAACGCAACAGAGTAATACTTTCACTATACCGATCTCCTGTGGTACATTCCGTTGGTGCAGAGAGTACAGAAAGCTATGTTACAATCTTAAAATAGTGATCGTCCCCGTTTTCCGTATCTGAAGGATCGAGTTATTGGCTTCACGCTTCATTATCAAGTATGTTGGGGGTTGGCTAACGCATTACTGTAGGAATCCGTTATGAGGCACCAATTTGTCAACCACACTGATGCCCTTGTGATGTTAATTTAGATAAATAGTCTCCACGGGCTTTCTTGTCAAAAAATGGTTTCCTGAACAAAGTCATCTGTAGGAAACGAACCGTTTCCATCAACGTTCTTTCTATATTAGAACTACGCCATTTTCCGCGACGCCACCACCCATTAACGTATGCAACATTGGAGGGCTTGCAAATGCGTTGTCAGCCTTTCAGGAGAACATGCTCTTTGCTTGAAGACTCCCAAGTCGTAACGGTTCGAAATGACCGTCGGCGACAGCTGCTGGTTTAACAGAGTGGTTGTGCGATGCAGAAAATGCCTTAATAGTCGCGGTGTGGTGGAGCATTGAACACTATATTGCTATGATACATCAAATAAGTGTATATAAAGAATAACAGGCTACTGTCAAAAATACAATATTCAGTTATATTGGCAACTACCACTAAAAGAAGCCCCAAATTTTTTGTAATAAGTACCTAATAAGCAAATTGTAATAAGTACGATAAATTCAGCGTCGCAACCATAAAATATACAACTAAAAGTAATTTGAACTATTTTTAGCATGAGTTTAATTACTTAAATTTTGTATGTTTTGTATAAAATATAAGAAATTGTTACTTATAAATATAAGAAACATATAAATAACTAAGAGTCTGCATGTCATTCCCTGTTTGGCATGGTTATAACTCGTTTGAAGATCGTATTCATATAGAAGACTTGACTCCGCGTTTATTTCGCACTATTTTATTAATGACCTTATAAAATACGGATATATGGCTGTTTATTAGTATAATGTGTCAAATTCCGCCAGTATATATTAAATATTTAATAAAGACTTATCTAAATACAGTTCGTAAAATCAAGATATTTTAGCCCAACTATTAGTAAACCCGACGAGCCGTTTATTTACGAGTAGATATGACAAACGTATCTTCAACTGTAATGCACAATACGAGTGTTTTCTTGCTTCAGCTTGTGTCAAAACGTCTGTGCCCGAATCCCGAAGACGTGGGTTCGATTCCCACAGCGGCGAAAAACTTTTCCTACTTTTTCCTACAAATTTCAATATTCCATCATATTTTTTCATTTATTTATTTTAAGACTTCATGCACATAACTCTGTACATAGGCGGACTTAATGCTGACAGCATTTTCTACCAGTCAACCTTAGGGTGGTACCGAGATTTTGAGATAGGTGCACAAACATTTAAAATATAAATATTATACTAATTACACATAAATATATACATAATACAATACAATTAAATACAAGTTTACATATATATATATATATACAATATATATATCTTAAGTGCACAGATTGGCACTACTTATAAAAATTTAAACTTCCTCGTTTCTCATTTTAAGTGCCTGTGCATTCGATGCTTTGGTGTAGCGATTTTCCTGTTTACGAAGGCTCGCTTCGTGTGTAGCGTTGAGAATGAAGATCGATCTCCGTCAGCACCTCTTTGGTGGTTATCACATCACATCAGGTCAAACGCCAGCTCTTGCCACCTTCTCACATAAAAAAATAAGAGCGTACCAATCTTCCTATTTGCTCATTCTGCAAGTTGGGGGTAACTGTCAATTGAATAAATACTACAAAAAAATTAAACAAGTTTTATTATTCACTGACGAGTACAACTAGACAAACAAAATATCACGCGGGAAAATCTAAAAACATACGCTTATCAGCTCAAACTCTAACGCCTATTGCACAACTAACACTTTCGTCTGCATCTCTCTGCAGAAGCAAAACTTGTTGAGATGCGGATGCGTCGAGCTGATGCATTTCGGCTCATCGCCGTATCTGAGGACAATTGATTGAACCTATGAATAGAATAGAATATACATCCATACTTCCTTATCCTTACTAATATTATAAACGCGAAAGTTTGTACGTATGAATTTTTCGTCTCTTTATTCTTTAAAAAACATTGCCCTTACTTTAGGATAACATTATCCTGTGTTGTAGGGACGTTTTACAAACATAAATTTCACGCGGACAAACACCCAGATGCGAAACAACTACCTGTGGGTCACACAAATAGTTGTCCCGTGTGGGAATCCAACCCACGACCACCGACGTCGAAGCCAATACCTTGGCAACTGTGCCACGGAGTCATCGAATGGATGGATGGATGTTTGTTACTCTTTCACGCAAATACTACTGAATGGATTTTAATGAAACTTTACAATAATACAGCTTATATATCAGAACAACTCATAGGCTATAAATTATATACATATTTTGTATTTATATCTGTCTTTCTGCCTGAATGTTACGCCTCCAGCCTATTCCGCGCAGATGTAGTCGCCGACAGCAGCTAGTAAAGAATAATAAAAAAATGTGTTTTATGTTTGTTTTTAAGCGAGCGGTCCACCTGATGTTTAGTGGTAACCGCCGCCCATGGATATTTGCAACGCACGTAAGGTTGCAGATGCGTTGCCAGCTTTCAATAAAGTGGGCCCCGGCTACCTCACCCATCAGACGAAACGCAAAGTACAACACTTCCACTTGACGGCGGTCTTCTGTGAGGTCGTGGTACTCACCCCGACGGTCCTGCCCATTCGTGCAACAGTGAACACTGTTGCCCGGTCCTACCACAGTTACTTTGCTTACGTACGCATGCAAGAAGTTATACTTCTTTAGCGTAACGAAAGAAATATGACTAAAATTTTACTCTACTTCTACTAGTACTCTGTTTGTGAAATAGATTAAATGCAATTGATAACGGCTACTAACTTGGAATTAAAGGTTAATGTCAAAAGGTTATTGGTTGTTATTGTCGAAGTTGGTCACTTTGCAACCAACGACATCATGTCGCTTTTTGAGGGGTCGGCGTGCGCTTAGCTCAGTGGCCAGAGGTTCTGCGAGAATCACCCAGAAGTTTTTGACACGATACAATTTGTTCGGGTGGCTTTCAGATCTGAAAGTCTGATTATCTGCTCCTCCGTGCATTTTTTTTAATGTAAAAAAACCTACACAATAGCAAAAAAAAAACACGACGCTTACGCTGTTATCCGAGAGATGTCGTCCTCGTTGATGACGAATTGTTTCGTCTTGTGGTTGTACTTCATTGAGCCCTCGAACACTGCTCTGCCGGGGCTCATCACAATCTGAATTGCACGTGACAAGTGACAAGTGACAAATGACAAGTGGCAAGTTTTACACGCGATTAAATTCTCGAAATGAACGAATGTTTCGTTGCGGCTGTATAGACAGGATGAACAAATATTAATAGTATTATTTCTTTTGCGTTCAATACGATGAGTGTGATATACGTAAGGCCCGTATTTATTTGCCAAGATTTAACCCCTCAAGTGTGACGAACGTCAATAAATTGTGGTCAGTTCCATCAGAACCATCAAGCAATTCAGCTCGAACGATAGTCATCCAGCTTTTGTAAGTCTGTATTAATTCGACCTAAACCTGTGATAACTTGACCTATGTATATTCAAAGTAACTGCCAAAACAAGTGTAAAATCAGCGAATAAAGTAGAATAGAGAACAGCATAGATTACTTTCGGAAGCGTTACGAGTACAATCATCGTTACAATGAAATATTGACCCTGCAAAAACAACCCTATTGACAAAACTATTGATGTAAGTATGTAATTTAATGTATCATCATTTGAATCCTACTAAGAACGTTCTCTCTAAATTCAATACTATACCAATTCTAACAAGTTTGTGTTATCTAGCTTTGAGGCAATCTTCAGTGCTAAATAATGTCGGGTTTAACAAACATTTTCTATGAAAGCTTTTATATTTGACTTTGAAAAAAACTATCATAGTAGGCACTGTCATGTGCATAGAGTTATGTTTCCTCGATACGATAAAAAATGGATGTAAATGTTATTATAGCATATTTTTGTAAAAGATACAATGAGAACGATTAGTTATAATTTTGAACTTGACTTACCTTCGCCTGATAAGTTTCGCTGTTGGGACGGGACTGCAAACAGAAAAGAGGTTTTTTATGTGTGAAAGTGGCAAACGAGCTGGCGATTCATCTGATGTTAAGTGATAACCGCCGCCCATTGACACTTGCAACACTCATAGGGTTGCTGATGCGTTGCCACCTTTTAATTTAGTGGAACATCAGTCACCAGACGAAACGCTAGAGTATTATACTTCCACTTTACGCCGGTCTTCTGTGAGGTCGCGGTACTTACCCGTACGAGCCTGCCCATTCGTGCAACAGCCGAGGCTGCTGCGTGGCCCTACCACGTTAAAAAGTGGGAGTGGGTCCCGCTTAATAACGCTACACACTCAGTTAGTGCATCAACAAACACCATAGTTCGTCCTCGCCTTCGGGCACGGCGAGACCAACACAACGCGCACACTAGGTGTACTCAGGTTCCAGGGCGGTTCTCACCGCCCCCAGCCACAGTAAGCAAACACAGTCAACGGCCATCGGGGTCACGGTCTACCCCGGACGGAAATTTTCAAAAGGTTGTCAACGCATCCGCAACCCTCGGGTGTAGCGGATGTCCATGGGCGGCGGTATTCACATGAAATCAGGTGAACCGTCTGCTCGTTTGGCAACTTTTCACATTAAAAAAAAAGCTATCGCTTAACATCAGGTGAACCGTCCGCTCGCTTGGCAACTTTTCACATAAAAAAAAGTTATCGCTTAACATCAGGTGAACCGTCTGCTCGCTTGGCAACTTTTCACATAAAAAAAAGTTATCGCTTAACATCAGGCGAACCGTCTGCTCGCTTGGCAGCTTTTCACATTAAAAAAAAAAAACCCGACGGTGGGTCCGCACCGCCTAGTAATAATCCCCTACCTTGGCCGCAGCGGTGACATACTTGTCGTGGAGTCCGTCGCCGTCGCTGCCGTAGCGGAAGCTCAGTAAGTCTTCGTTAGAGCCCAGACGCATCACCCACTCAACGGCGATAAACCTCCTCTCGATGCATTTCGATCTGTGCGACCCGGCATTTGCCTTTTGGTTAAGGCTACGTATTTTTAACTGTGGTATTGCCACGCAGCAGCCCCGGCTGTTGCACGAATGGGCAGGCACGTCCGGGTAAGTACCACGATCTTACAGGAGACCGGCGTAAAGTGGAAGTATAATACTTTCGCGTTTCGACAGGTGAGTGAGGTGGCCGGAGCCCAATTTTCAAAAAGGTTGTCAACGCATTTGCAAACCCTCGGATGTAGCTGATGTCCACGGGCGGCGGTATTCACATAACATCAGGTGAATCACGTGCCAGCTTAACAACTATTCACATAAAAATAAATGATTTATTATGAGGTGTCTGTAAAAGAGGCGTTCTTTTTGTCTAGCAGTGGGGCATTCGAATATTGAGTTATTGTTTACTAAAGTTCCTTGGTGAAGCCAGGTCCAATTAAATGCCACAATTTGCAAACGCAGAAGTGATGTTGACAATACAAGTTATGGACTAAATTAATCGCAAATGTACCTTGATTGAAAATCAAGTAATTAAACTGCAACTCATCGGTCTTGTAAATGTCCACGGGCGGCGGTAATCACTCAACATCAGTAGAATCGCCTGCTCGCTTGCCGCGCGTTAGCAGTAAAAACCAAGTGCGAGAGTCAGCCTCGCGCAGAATGGTTCCGTACCATTATGTTAGACGACCCGAATGGCGTAGTGGGTAGTGTACCTGCCTCCTGCGCCAGAGGGTGTGGGTTCGATACCCACTATTGGAAAAATATTGTGTGATGAACATGGTGTTTTTCTAGTGTCTGGGTGCTTCTATATGAATAATATGTATTTATTTACAAAAGAAAAGTATGTTTAAGTATGTTTATCAGTTTCCTAGTATCCATAGTACAAGCTTTGCTTAGTTTGGGACTAGAAAATGTTGTGTAAAAATATGTTCTAAAATATTTATAAAAAAAATATTTTTATTATCTATAAAAACGGCAAAAAAAATCATGTCTATTGTATGGGAAACCCACCTAAATAATTTTTTATTCTGTTTTTTAGGCCACAGAAATACATCATCTGTGAATATTTCAAGTGTCTAACTATTCCGCTTAGTGATATACAGCCTGGACGGACGAACAGATAGACAGAGAGCGAAGTCTTAGTAATAGGGTGTCGTTTTACCCTTTGGGTACGGAGCCCTGACAAAGAGAAATGTTGCCAACATACTCACCGCATCTCCTCCGTTATATTGTTGACAAACGCCGCGAGCGCCTTGGCGGCCCCACTGTGAATTGGCTCCGATGAGGAGACGTTGTACCATTTGCTACACACGCACCAGTGCGAGAGCACCGCCGCTTGGCCACAGGTTCGAATCTTCGGGATCTGGATGGGATTCCTATTTTACCAGTGAAAGTTCTAAAGTACACGTTTAAGATCTGTACTCACGGACGAACAAATGTGCTCAGCTTTCTTTTTATGTGAAAAAGTGGCAAACGAGCTGGCGGTTCACCTGATGTTAAGTGATAACCGCCGCCCATGGATTTTTCCAACACCCGTAGGGTTACAAATGCGTTGCCACCTTTAAATAAAGTGAGCCCCGGCTACCTCACTCACCAGACGAAACGCAGAAGTGTAACGCTTCTACTTTACACCGGTCTTCTGTGAGGTCGTGGTACTTGCCCGGACGGGCCTGCCCATTCGTCCAACAGTGAAAACTGTTGCTTGGCCCTACCACAGACAAAAGCTTTTATTAACAAGTCTGAATTTAAACTTAACAAGTGAACTAATTAACGGTAGTTAGTTCTTGATTGAGGTACTCAGTGTCTCTTTGATACATTTAAATCGAGTTCAAAATAACTAAAACCAAACGACGTCGACATCTATTATTGCTCGTATAGTCCGTTGTCAATATGAACCCGTTTCTTGTTATAGTTTGGAAATGTAAGTTGGAAAGTTATGCTGTCATTACTTATTGAATAAAAGCAATTTTTTTCGATCAATAATTAAAACGGACTGTCAAAGAAATATGTATCTAGCAAACTTATAACATCCAAAATAGCTACGTTAAAAATTAGATGTGTATAAAGTAAAGGAACAAAGCAGCTGCCTTGGCGAACTCACTGGTTCTAAGAGGCTCAGACCTCTCGGTAGATCCGAACCTGGGACCGCGTAGTCGTTGGCGAGCTCGTCTAACCCCATCACGTCGACGATCGTCGTGTGGATGTCGAAAGGTGTTGTCAGAATTCGGGCGTTCGCCTTCAATCCAGTGAAGGCTTCGGGTCGGCTCTGTTTGAACATCTCCGGTAGAATTATCGCCATCAGCGGCAGACGCTCCTCCATTTTGCCCTGATAAGTCTCCCGTAGGGGGGAGTATCTAGAATTGCGTAGTTTCGATTAGGGAATGTTTGATGTCATATTCTTTAATCTTCTGCTCAATGAAACTGGGGGGAGTATCTAGAAAATTGCGCAGTTTCGATAAGGGAATGTTTGCTTTGAATGTTTTGAAAGTTTGAAATGGCGCAATTGATGCGGTTACTATGTTGTTGATCACGCGTCACGAGTCGTGTGTTCCATTCGCATCCACGAAAACATTTATAGATCCCAAATATTCCACCTTTCATTGAAGCACCAAAAATTGGGTGTATACGGCGGTAGGGCCACGCAACAGTATTGGCTGTTGCACGAATGGACAGGTCCGTCCGGATTAGAACCACGACCGCACAGAAGACCGGCGTGAAGTGGAAGTGTTATACTTCTGCGTTTCGTCTGGTGAGTGAGGTAGCCGAGGCCCAATTTATTATAAGGTGGCAACGCACATTGCTACCCTGTCGCAGCCGTCCGAGTTGCCTCGAAGTGCGGGCCGGACTGAAAACCGGTGTCGGGATCAGAACTAGTTACTGTATCTCGACTTTTACCGAGTCCCGTCCGTTTCACGGTCTTATGCTGCTACACAGACTGTCACTTACTGTTGTTATTTTGTTTGCTTATTTTTATGTTTACATTTATTTTAAGTTTCTGTGTAGTTACATTATTATTTTTAATGTTTATATGTATTCATTTGTTTTTAGACCGTGAATAAACGTTTCTTCTTCTTCTTCTTCTTCTTCTAAAGGTATTGCAAATGCCAATAGGCGACGTTTATCACTTACTATCAGTACTAACACGTTTATCACTAAACACCTTCTCACATGAAAAAGTGGTGATGTAAAGTAGAAGATATCCCCACCAAGAAACACCCACCTGCTGCCATGATCACCCATGACGATCAACAGATGATTCCTCAACTTGCCGGACGACTTCATGTGTCGCAAGAACGAAACGACGTCGTCATCGGACGTGGTTATCATGTTGAAGTTCTCGTGGGTGATGTCCGCGATGAAGGTGAAGCAGAAGTGTTTGTCCTCCAAACCCGTGAACTGATGAGTGACGTACGTACAATGATGACTCCGTATCGCACTTGCCGAGGTGTTGGCTGCGGCGTCACGGGTCGTGGGTCGATTCCCACACGGGACAACTATTAATTGTGTGACCCACAGATAGTTGTTACGCATCTGGTTGTTTGTCCGCGTGAAATTTATGTCTGTAATATGTCCTAACAACACAGGATAATGTTATTCTCAAGTAAGGGTAAAAAAAATACATTGATCAATGCAAGTTTACTTGCACGCGCTATAAATGCTTAACCTCTAGTGTCAGTTTGCCCATGAAAACATTGCCATATTGGCATCCCGAGATCTATGGTGCTGTATAGTTTCTAAGACTAAAAACTGAAATATGAACGGGATAGAGTTAAAGGGCGAAGGTATTTTCTTAATAACAGGTGAATCGCTTGCACTGGCCGGTCTCCTTCTACATTATTTCACTGCTTAGCATCAAGTGGCATAAAAGTCAAGCACTAGTAGGCATTCTCTTATTATAGATAGCTCAGAATTCGGTATTAACTTTAAGTGCTGACTTATGACGACGTTCTCAACGGTAAAGGAAAACATAGTGAGGGAACCTGCATATTATCGAAATAATCATCATTATCGTCATCACTCAGTCTATTGCAGTCCATTTGTGGACAAAGGTCTTCATAAGGGCACGCCACAGAGCAAAGTCTTCCGCTTTCCTCATGCAGCCACTACTAGCGACCTTTATCAGGTCATCGTTCCACCTGGCTGAGGGACGTATCACACTACGTCTGCTGTGACGTGGTCTCCAATCGATTAACCATCTACTCCAACGCTCATCGGTTCTACGACAGATGTACTATCGAAATAATAATAAAAGAAATATTTCGAAAATAAGTGACCCTAATACACTGTGCAGAGGTCTTTGCCCAAGTCGAAGTCAATATTTCTTTATTCAATATAGCTGACCCCACAAACGTTTTTTTGCCATATAAATTATTTCTAGGGAATTTGTCAATAATGAAAACATAGAAAGAGAATTTTCGGAACGCGCAAATAATATATTTGACAGATAGGAACAGTGTGTATGGGAATATAAAATTGTTGCTATTTAGATTTTCCATGCAAGTTTTGCATAATTTCTCATCGTATAAACCTTCCCTGGATTGCCACAAACATTTCAAAACCAAAATTAGCCAAATCGGTCCAGCCGTTCTCGAGTTTTGGCGAGACTAACGAACAGCAATCCATTTTTATATATAAGAAAGAAGATAGGTATGTTTTAAGTTCTTTATAGACGTCAAAAAACTCACTATGGTAGGGCTATGCAACAGCTTCGGCTATTGCACGAATGGGCCCTCTGTCCGGGTTAGTACCACGACTGGCGTAGAAGTGTTACACTTCTGCGTTTAGTCTGGTGAGTGCGGTAGCCACTTTATTTAAAGGTTGCAAATGTCCATGGGCAGCGGTTATCATTTAACATCAAGTTCACCGCCAGCTCGTTTGCCATTGTCTCACATACAAAACAAAATACTACCGGTTCACTAAAGTAGACCTGTCCAGAGAAGAACCGACAAGAAACTCTGCGGTCTTGTTGTTATATTTTTTTCATTACATATGCTCACAAGACTATTTAAGTATAAAATTAAGCATTGGGACATGTATAGGCAGTCACTTCTCATAGAGTACTGACCTGCTCGCTGAGATTGAGCAGGAACCGGTACTGGGGCACGGCGCCGACGCAGTGCCTTCTGTTGATACCGTTCCACCACTTCACCCCGTACTTCGACTCCTCGAGGAAGAACGCCCTCAGGTAGTGGTCGGCCGGCTGGGACTTGAACCCGTTGTAGCGATACTGGAACGTGCCTATCCATGGCATGTCCTCGAAGTACGCCGTGTGGTAGCTGAGGTGAGTTCCGTCGACAAAATGGAGATTTGTTCAGTGTGTATGTTTATGAAAAATATATCAAGTGAGACTTTTAGTTTATCAACTGTCCTGTCAATATTAAGCGATTTTAATGTTCAGTGAACAACCAATGTTACGGCGCCTGTAGCGCCATCCGTCGTAGGTACGAAGAAGCCACCTATCATTACTATAATCTTTATATCACGTCATATCCGACCAATCAACGGCAATGCAGAAGTTTCAACAATTTTTTTAAGGAGCTTTAATTTAATCAACGATCCAGTACCATTAAATTCGTAACAGACGATTGGTTCTCGGTTGATATGTCGTTCAATTTTAGATAATCTAGATGGCTGTTAATTTCAATAACTAATTTAAAACACAGCTAGGTGAATTTAATTTCACTGAATAAAAGACCCAACCCACCCGTATTTCTTGAGGATCCTGAACATGATGTTCTCGGGATCGATGAGTTTATTTGGCGCGAATTTGATCCTTGCTTCAGGCAGCTCCAACTCTGTTTTCCCAGTCAGCAGGGGAATGATTGCGGCAGGTGTGCCGTCCCCGACGATGTTGTAACTGAATGTTCGGAGGAAACTATCAGAGACTTGTTCCATCCTAATTCTTTTGCCCCAAGTTTCAATGGCGGTAGAGGTAAACAGCATTATGTGGCAAAACGGAGAGGCAAAAATGCGTTAGTTAATCCTTGAATGCATTATGGATTATGATGTCATATACGATTGGATATTTCATTGATTAGGCGTCGTAGGGTCTTTATACTAATGTGTAGAATTTGTTGCGATTTTAAGAAGGCAAGTGTGTCATGGAGTTCTCAGCCATCCTAATATCCATAGTAGAAGACAATCGATAAGCCGACGTTCTCTCTTTATTTCTAGGCGGAGAACTACCACAGAACTTCACAAATCTAAGGATCTTTTTTTTTCCTTTTTTTATGTGAGAAGGTGGCAAGAGAGCTGGCGGTTCACTTAATGTTAAAAGAAAACCACCGCCCAATTACATTAGCAAGACCTAAGCAAATCATTTGCAAGGGTTAGGTTAGGCTGTGGCTATCAGCCGTTTAGCTCAGTGGCTAGAGCGTCAGGCCGCGAATGCCGAAGACGTGGGTTCGGTTCCCACAGCGGCGACAATCTTTTCGTACTTTTTCTACATGTTTTAATGTTTAAAATTCTAATGCTAGTTAATGTACGCCATACACGTTACGGTCTACCGGAGAGGTTACCTGTGTAGGTTTGTCTTTCTTTTTGGTATCGTGGGGAAATCTTCAAAAGATACCGGATCACCTTATATTACTCTTATGTGGGGTTCTTACTTATTAAAACCCCCTCGGCGGCCACCTTCTGTACGCTTGGAGAGTTGGACGGACACTGGGATCTCCTACGGAACGCTCCGGTGTCCCTTGGTACTGCGCGTGAGCACGCCTCTGGGAAGGATATTGTTTCCCCGATTCCCTCGCCATCTTGCAGCAGCTGGAGACCACTTTCAGCTGCTGTCAATACGTGTCCCCTTTTAGTCACCTCCCTTAGCCCTAGACTATATTGCAGGTTTGCCTGCGCAGGTGTCACTAGAAAGAATTGATTTTTGATCTTGCGCCGGTTGCCTGCGCGAATTCAATAAACTGCACAGGTCTACTCCCACACACGCTCCGGTTATTTTAGACCGTAGCGTGTATGGCGTCCGTAAAACAAACAGAGCCTACAGCTCGAATACGACTTGCCCGTGCAGTATTGTCGCGTCCAACTCCTCCGTCAGGGCCCTGTAGCTGTGAGGCATCCGTCGCCTGAACCCGTTGTGGGATGTGGAGTCGAAACAGAGTATCATGACGTTCATGCCATCATGAGACGGTTCGGGGTCTACAATCTCTATCGGACGCAGGCCCGCTTTGTAGCCGTGCCACCTCGACGACATCAGACCGAGCCTGCAAGTTTTCCTTTTATTGTGGAAGGTTGCCAAGCTAGTGGGTGGCTCAACTGACGCCAGTATAACGCTGCCCTTTGACATCTACAACAGCTGTGGACTCCCAGAAGTGTTGAGAAAAGTGGGCTCCGGCTGTCTCATACACCAGACGAAATGCGAACGTATAATACTTTCACTTCATTCTGGTCTTTTGTGACCGTGGTACTTCCCCAGACGAGCCCGCCCATTCGGGCAAGATGCTGCGAGGCCGAATTTTCGGAAACAACACATTCGAAAGATTCTGCTAACAGCGCCGTTTGTAGGATCCGCGGGTGGCAAGACATCTGAATACACTAAACATCTGAAAAAATGTACTACTTTTTTTATGTCACAAAGTAGCAAACGAGCTGGTTGTCCACCTGATGGAAATTGATAACCGCCGTTCATTGACATGTGCAATACCCGTAGGGTTGCAGATGAATTGCCACTTTTTAATAAAGTGGAGAACAGCTACCTCACTCACCAGGCGCCGCAGAGTGAGAACGCAGAAGTGCACACAAACACTTCTACTTCGCGCCGGGCTTCTGTGAGGTCGTGGTACTTATACGAACGGACCTGACCATTCGTGCAACAGCAAACACTGCTGCGTGGCGCTACCACAGTAAAACAAATCCCCAAGGTGCAGTCGCAAGAGTTCCCGAGCATTCCCGCAAATTAACGCCACCGTGTATCGAGAAGGAATCGATTCATACTTCGTTCCTTGGCAAAATGAGTTCAACGAGAAAAGTTCATGACCAGCGGTGGTCATTGGGCATCTGGTGAACAATCTGCTGGTACGCCACATTCAAGACCTCATCATACCCACTCACCCTTTCAAACTCTTCCCCGAGCACGACACTTTCACGTGGTCGCTTCGGTTGAGAGGGTAACTCCCGCCGCCGTGGACTTTGACTGGATCGCCGATGAGGTATTTCTTATCGTCCACGTAGATAATGTCCTTGTAGATGCAGGTCACGTCGCGCATACTGTCCAGTATAGCCTTACTGACGGAACATTCAGACCTCTATGGGAGTAAATATAAATAAATAAATATTTTAGGACACTTTTTTACACAACATTCTCTAGTCCCAAACTAAGCAAAGCTTGTACTATGGGTACTAGAAAACTGATAAACATACATAAACATACTTTTCTTTTGTAAATAAATACATATTATACATATATTAACACCCAGACACTAGAAAAATACTATGTTCATCAAGCAATATTTTTCCAGTAGTGGGGATCGAACCCACACCCTCTGGCGCAGGAGGCAGGTACACTACTCACAACGCCATTCGGGTCGTCATCAGTAAGAGAATTATTGATAATATCGATAAAAGTTATTTGGATAAACTATACCAAAGTCATTATATATATATAAAGCGTGTCGTTACCATCGCGACAATAAATGAACACACATATAGGGATAACTTTTTAAAGTTGTATTAAACATTTAAATTCTTTAAACATCAATATTTACAGAGTTATTAAATTTTCCAAAACAAAGAATTTTAGAACACCCTTACCTATAAAAGCGTAACGTAAAGTTCATTTGTAAAGGTCACAAAGCATATGAATGGGTTGAATGAATTTAAAAGAGACAAAACATACTGTTTAGAAGGAGAGGCTTGTAATGCGACGCTGTGGCGCGAGTTCTATAGGATGTTACAAATTTTGTATCTTTTTTACTTAATTAGTTTGTTTAAAAAATATTTTTTTTTAATTATGGATTTTGTTTAACGTTCATATTTTTTTATGATTATTGGCAAGTAGCGTTAGACGTGTGTTCATTTATTGTCGCGATGTTAACGACACGCTGTATAATTATTTTGTTTGTGTGTACGTCACTGAACTGCTGGACTGATTTTAATAAAATGTTGTGTGTGTCTTCAGGTCGATTCGAGAATGGTTTAGATTCACAATTCGGTCCACATAATTAATTAATTAAGACCGACACTGGATTTGAATTTGGGTTCTTCGAATGCTCAAAATTTGAAGCGAGCGTGAGCGTCCGGACACTGAGCTAATACTGCTTTTAAGAAAACGTAAATATCTCCAATAAGTAACTGTGGTAGGGCCACGCAGCAGCCACAGCAGCCCGTTGCACAAATGGGCAGGCTCGTCCGGGTAGGTTGTCAACGCGTCTGCAACCCTCGAGTGCAGCAGATGTCCATGGGCGCGGGAATTTACCAACATCAGTTGGACCGCCTCGCTTGGCAAATTGTCACATAAAAAAAACTGACGTGACATTCGACCCAATCGACGCCCTCGCAGTTGATCTTCGGCGTGTCCATGCTGAACCGCATCACCTCCTCGGCGAACGGATCCAAGTCAGGAATCTGGCAACCGAGCCCCTCCTCATCCAGTATACTCGCACTGAGCTTCTTTTGCACCTGTCTGTAACAAATGCTTCCTAAAGTGTCTCGTTCGCGGAATGACTCTAGGTTTGGTTTTAAAATAAAAGCTCATCTTGACGGTGATGTACAATATATGAACATTGCTGCATTTGTATATTTTGTGTGGTTTGGATAAAAAGGTCCCAAAGACCACTGCGACCTAGGAGATCTAATGTAGCCTTCCCTTAGAAGACATTGCCTTTTGACTATGGGATAAGATTATGCTGTGTTGTAAGAACGTTTTACATAGATAAATTTCAAGTGGACAAACAGAACCTAGGTCTGAAACAATTATCTGTTGGTCACACAAATAGTTGTCTCACGCAACGTCACGCAACAATCTTCGCTGTTGCACGAATGGGCAAAAATGGGAATTTCAAAAATTGCGTGAAGCACAAGTAATACATTTGCGTTCAGTCCGTTGAATTTTGTTGAACGGAGACCAAATTGTTTACGATATGCTACGCGCCTATGCCGCAGTTGACCTTAAACTGTTTATCACTAGGACATGGGGAACAAATCGGTCTTAAACTTACCACAAAGATTCAGTATGAGCAGTTATTGAGAAGGTGTGTTAGATTTGCTTTGTTTTATCGAGCTAAGAAGGTAGAAATATAAATACTCTTATCAAATCACCGTAGTTTTACTTTGTACAACAATAACACTGGTATAATTACTTATGTTCACTTTAATACTAAAGAATCACCAATCTAACGATTTAATTTGTGATATCGATTGGGCAATCCTATCGCGTATACCTACTTCTTGTTGACAGCCAAAAAAGACCATGAAACGCTTCGTGCAGCTTCATCACTACATAGTATAAAATAAAGTCGTCCCGCTGTCTGTCTGTCCCTATGTATGCTTAGATCTATAAAACTACACAACGGATCTTGATGCCGTTTTTTACTAGATAGAGTGATTCACGAGGAAGGTTTATATCTTTAATACATTGCACCCGCACGTAGCCGAGGCGGGTCGCTAGTCATTTACATCATGTAGAATGACGCTTCCTTTAGTGTTGCCAACAGGTGGTAGGGGATAAGTCTTGGCCATTAAAAGCCACCATCACCGTAGACTAATACGTTTTATCACTACATTGTATAAAAAAAGTCGTCCCGCTGTCTGTCTGTCTGTCTGACTAACACTGATTGCAGCGTGTACTCACTGCTGCGACGCATGCCGGTCTGGATAGGTCTTCGCCGGTTCGTTGTACTTCAAGATTGCGTAGATCGAGGTCAAAGAGAACAGCGCTAGGAACATGACCGCGTAGACCTGGTGTTTGTTGCGAAACCTGAGCCTAATAAGCATCTCGATGCACTGGAACGTTCAATTAATGACCATCAATGTCTAGAGTTCATCTATAGTTTAGCTACGCAACACTACGCAGCTAAGCAACATTTTAGCCGCGCAATGGCCACCGAACAGGAAGAAAGTACTTGATCACACAGAAGATCGGCCTTAAGTAGAAGTATGTATACTTTTGCATTTCGTGTGATAAGTAAGGTAGTCGAGACCCGTTGTCTTAAAGGATGTGCATGGGCGTTGGTAAAATCACACACACATAAGGCGATCGTAACATATCGACCATCAGGCGGTCAAACTGCACGTGGGCTAGATTATCTAAACAAAGCGGCAGAATTGCAATGATTTATTAAATTTTCAGTTTCACAAGTTTATAGCTTCTTGTTATCTGAATATCTATAAGTAAGCCGTGACAGCTCATTGTCTGGGGGCTCTCTGTTAATAATAATAATAATGATAATAATAATTATTATTATTATGGGGGATATTCATTTGTTTTCTCGTCTGGTTGGGTTTATAAATAAAAATAAAAATAAAAATAAAGATATAGATATATATTGCATATATGAAATAAATATTATGGATAAAAATAGAAGTTTTTTATACCAAGAACCACAACAGATCTCACTTTACACGCCCAATGCAATCTTGCTTAATTTATATCCCATGAAAGGTCCAAACATTCATTACTCGGCCATCGCTTTTGTATTTTATAGTTTATTAGCAATTTGATCAATTATACTTTATTATGCAGTCAGATATAAACATTAACTAAGTATTAAAAAATACAAAAAAATAACATACCTTTCGCATAATCGATATTAAATTGAAAAGAACATATAATATGAACCACAACAATTCCAAGCAAATACGCGCATTATATTTTACGTAATCATTTTTGATTATCATTCTTCGTTTTTTTTTTGTTTTGTGCGTCGAAAAACAACTACCGGCCAGTTTGTGTTGCACAATTTTTACAGACGTCCATTCTTTTTAATAAATTGTAGTCATATACGACCTGTTTTATGTCTTGTAACTAAATCATAATCTTTTCTGAACTTTGCACGATATAAACATATCAAAAAAGAATATTTGTCTATTTTAAGCCAATCAAATAATTGTATACGATTATTAATATTGCCGAAATACGGAAACTAGGCTATATTATTTGGTTATCTACCGCTTGTACGCTCGAACAATTGTAGTCCAAATTTAGGTTTATAAGTTCAAAAATTAATTGCTCCAGGTGAGGCTCGAACTCACAACCCCGGCATCGCTCGGACACTGCCTTATAAGTACCGTGCGCTAACCAATTGCGCCACTGGAGCCATATGCATCATGCCCAACTTTAGCAACTTAACTAACACCACACCTAATGTCTTTTTCCATATCATCATCCACCAGCCCCTTTTTTTTCGTGGGAAAAATCCTTTATGGCTCCCCTGCCTCTCGATTGGGGGAGTGGGTATGTGTTTGGGGGAGTCCCGCAGTTTTTTTTTTAGTATTTTTTGTTATAGCGGCAACAGAAATACAATAATAATAATTATATTTACTGTTGATTTATAATTACTATCACGGTTTATGAGATACGAACTGGTAACGAACGGACGGATGGACGGACGGACTTTATATGGAAAGGGACATTCCTAGTAAGCTTCTAAAGTTTGGCATTTTCTCCGTGGCTCCAGTGGCGCAATTGGTTAGCGCACGGTACTTATAAGGCAGTGTCGGAGCGATGCCGGGGTTGTGAGTTCGAGCCTCACCTGGAGCACGTAATTTTTGAACTTATAAAGCTACTAAATTAAATTTGGGACTTCTACAGTAATCATTCGAGCGTAAAAGTGATGGATGAACCAAATGTAATATTATAATCTAGTTTTCGTGTTTTAGCAATATAAATAACCGAATACTATCAGCTGATTAGCTTAAAATAAAAATAAAACTTTTTTGCAATTATTTAAATAGGTTAAGTATATGTATTGTTAAGATTGAGTTACATATGAAATAAAACTTTTTAAAAGTACATACGGAAATTGTGTATGTAGGCTGTGAAATTCGTCTGAGTTTGGTTACGACCTACAATAGCTTTCATGATTTTGAAGTCAAATCTCGTAATTCCGGGTTCAAAAGCCACTTTCTTTGCTGCAGTTGAACGGTGTCTAGTGCGTTTTTACTGTGGTAGGTACGCAGAAGCTTTCTGCTGTTGCACTAATGGGCAGCCTCGTCCGGGGAAGTACCACGGCCTCCAAACGACGCTGTTTCGTGTAAATAGTAGTAGTAGTATTATACAGGGTGTTACAGAAAGATGTTGTAACATTTAATGGCGTGTATATATATCAGACTTTGAATCAAATGGCATAATTTTAAAATACGAATCTAAGCATTTTTTGACGATAAAAATTAAAAAATTAATTAACTGTAACAACCCTGATTGTAGAAGTCACTGACCGCGCATCGGTGTTATCACTCCAAACTCACACACGCATACATCTGATCGCCCGACTTATTCCCTTCTCCCTCCACTCCTCGTTACGTCATTACCCCACTTCCCGCTCCTCAAGTTTATCGGTCCCCTCCGCCCGCCCCCTCGCCAACCAAACTTTGACAACGACCGCATCGCGCTGCAGGTCCTGGCGATGCTATGAAACAATGTGCTTATCATCAAAATTTATTTGAATTTATCGGATTTTGTCACAACAGATAGACACGAAATAGCTATACTGGTAGTCCATGAGCCCTACTTAATATGTTATTGACTTTTCTTTTGATTAAAGATAGGTATTCATTATAAGGAAATAAAACACAGACACACTATTTTTACTACGTTTATTTTTCAAAGCAAATATCCGCGTCATACCTACATAAAAAACATTTTTTACATGGAATTAATAATAGAATCCTATAGTTGGTCAAACATATTCACAATGTCCACTGTAACTTATAATTTTTTAATATTGAGTTTATGAATTAAACATTAAATTGCTTGCAGTGGAAGGTACAAACATTTTAGAAGGTTACAACTCACAAATCTTACAACGCCGATAAATTTATTCAACACAACATCAGTGAGATACATTATCATGTTATAGCGGATACATAATACATAATAATGACAAAAATAAATTTCGAATTAAGTAAGTTCAATGTAATTATAAAGTTAAAACAATAAAATCTTTATTTTAAATAAATAACCTATACCTAGACATTCCAATGAGATCAGCGTTTACTAAGAAAACTCGTGCTTATCGGTGTCGGTCGGTTCCTTTACGCGATAATATTCTTTCACTGTTATAGCACTTCAGCACTTGGGATACATTGTCACTAACTTAAAACACACCAAGGTCAAGGGTTTAGGGGACGACGCGTATAGGGCGCGGACGCGGGCCGATCCTACCAACTCCTTTTTAACACAACTGGCAGCTGTTCTAAATTTATTTCAGCATTCTTGCTTGCAGTCTTTTGGCGTTTCTTCTTCTAATACTTATGGCGTCAAAGACTGCCTGTCATCGAAAAAACCAATAATGTAGTTTCAAGGTAAATCGACGGCAATTCTCTCCGCAACACCGAATATCATTAAGCAATTTCTTAGCATATGCATTTCTGTCATCAATAACTAATCGAGAATAAAAATAAAAATCACGAACTTGTCTTCACACCGTAATGTCTAAAAAGTAACTGATTTCATTAAAAGTTTAAATAACACACGAAGCGACGGCATATTTTATGTATTGGACTACCTAAGCGGCATTCGGCTGCTTATGTCGGTAAGTACATAAGAAACTTTTGTTGAGGACTATTTCGCCGCTCGCATAATAATGTTACCATGTCTACCGAGTAATATTACAGGACGGGAGAAAATAATTGGCTATTTAATTTTCAAATCAGCATAGCTATAACAAAAACTTTTTGTGAATCAACATTTAACTATTGCTGGAAGGTCAGATATTCTTTTAATGGTATTTTACCATTGATATTTTTCATTTGTAGTAGATAAAAACCAAACAAAACATTTAGAATCTAGTTGACTTTCTTTAAAATACCACAAAATAATCTACTATTTAGAGCTTTTGGCTCATTTTCAAGTATTATTTTATGCTTAAGTTATTTTAACTATTATGCAGACTATTAACTTCATGAGAAAATGTGAAAATTTCAGAGCTAAATTATTTTCATGTGATGGCAGCTTACAGTTTTGTTTATTTTTCCTATCAAAATTGTAGCACAAAGTACGGACTAAGGTCTATAAAAATTCGGGATGACCGAACATCAGAATATCGGGATATTCCACGCGGATCGGTACATCTGGTAACACTAGTTCTAGGGAGTGCGGTAAATACAAAGGCGTTCTTTGTTTGACGCCGACCATCCACGTGGACTGATGGATTTGAATAGAAGGTCATTCAAAACACCTGTAATTAGATCGAAGAATCATAACTAACTATAAAATGATAGTTATGCTTATGGATCCATGAAATTACTTTTTTTACTTTTTTCAGAATGCTTTGTACACTAAATAAGAATTAATGCAATGAATTTAATAGGTACCGAAAATTAAGTTTAAGCTGTTATTATGGACTAAAATTTTTATTGACATTTAATTAGGTATCTAATATCCAGTTAATGGTATTTGTTTGGTTCCGCATAATAAAGAAAAAGTTCATGATTTCTTTGCAGAATTTTTTAATTTTTGTTAATGCGCGCGATAAATAACTACACGTGCTACCACCAACCGAACAAGCTCGGAGCCCGAGAGTCGATGTCTTTCACATCGACTCAACGCGTCGTGTTAAGAACGCTAATTTATTTAATACTTTCCGCAAAAACTTTTAATTGTTCAATTAAAAATATTGGCGCGTACCTCCATGCTTTCATTTAAAACAAAAAAAAAGTTACAAATTATTTAAAAATATAGTCTAAAATTATTATTTTTTTTTTAATTTTTATGTCTAAATGCTTATTTGTATTGAACATAGTAAAGTCAATTTGTATAAATTTCGTATTTTTTT